GTTGTATTTACCTACTTTTGGGAACTGCTAAGGACCAGATGATTTTTATTATGTTCTGATACGTGAAACCATAGAACTCAAAGAGGGTGTACTATAGGTCATTTCACATGACTGTATATCCCACTTTTCCTTCAGAAACTCAGGGAGTCATACGTAGCATACACTTCTCCATTTTTCACATCCACAACCATAACCTTGTAGGATAGCTTGTTCTGGGACACCCAGTGAGCTTTCATGGCCAAAGATAAACTTAAACCTGGATCCAGTACTATCAGAAAGTACCAAATTCTTTCATACAAGATATGACCCAGTATTGGATAGAAATTAATCCAGACTTGAACAGAAAAGACTCAACCCACTTCACAGGGGCCTCCCATTTATGTTGCCTTCAACTCCTAGATGGATAGTAGAATATGAATCTAATAAAGGCTTTATTTATTCATATGGCAGTGGCAGAAAATGCTGCAGGTATGCATTCATTTTTGAATGCAAATACTCTCAAGTGGTGAAATGAACTAACACAGTTCATGCACAAGTTTCCTATGCATGTTAGAGGTAAGACTGGATTATGCTTGATTAAAAATAATAGTGTTTATTTGTTTTAGCCATTTTAGGACCTCCAAGAGCAATAAATGTAACTTCAGAAGCCAATTCAATTCTTATAAGTTTCTTGCCTCCCTTTGACCATAGAAGTAATTTCTCTTCATTTGAATACAGAATCTATTGGGAGAATTCAACAGATAAACCAGTAAGTACTTCCTTTGCTTGACAAGTTGATAATATAAGAATCATTAGGAGATGTTTGAGTAACACATATCTATTAATCTCTTATTTATTTTTATATCATTACCCATACTTTTGCATGTCAAAGCAATTTATAATAAAATTCTTAAGATTCAATAATAAAAAAAATACATTAAGATAATATAAATCATTGTCATTAAACAGCAGGGAAATAATCTAATATTCATACAGGGATGATCTGGGCAAAGAGAAATATCATCAGTGGCCACCTAAAAAATGTAATCTGTAGGGGATGCCTTACAGATATTGGGGGAGAAAGAAAAGCCTGCCCATGACTAACCTCATAACCTTTAGTTATGTAGACTCAAATATGTATTTTAAATACATAAAAAGGTACCAAAATTATTCTAATGGTGTTTGTTTGCCTGCTGATTGTAGGAGCGCTAAGGGACTGTTAACAGAAGAACAAAAAGAAGTTTCAGCGTCACTGGGATTTGAGCAGTGTACATTTAATAAACAAATAATGATGATGATAAGAATTAGGAGGAGGCGGAGGCAAGGAGGTTTTATTTATTTATTCAGTTTCTATCTGCTCACCTATACATGACCCTTAATGAACCTCTATACCCTGAACACTTGATACTGCATATTTTACCATTGGTCCCACATCCTTTGTAATCTGCAGACAACCTAAATATCACTGAAGCTTTTCAAACTACCTACAGAATTCCTTCTTATCCAGATGGGATATCATACTATGTTGTATATCAAGATATTTTTTTATTTGACATTATTTAGAGATCAGCTTTCATTCCTTGATAGATAGGCCACAAACACCTTAGGGGTTGTTACAGAGGAAAGTCTATCTTAAATCCAATTTTTGTTTCTACATGGATACATCCATGTGGTTTTAACAGTATAAAAATAGTTTGTCACTGCCATTTTCTATGATCTTTTTTCCTAATTATCTGGAATTTCCTGGCTGTCTTCTATTTGACTGCTGACCAGATCCAACCCTTCTTAGATTTTTGAGATCAGACAAGGTTGAATAGGTGCCACTGCTGCTGTGACATTTTATAGAAAGGCATAGGAAATATAGCTTGGGAATTAGAGAAAATAGAGGATATGCTACAGATGGCATAGATGGGATAGACAGAGCTTTATCTTTGGTTTTGGGGATACCAAATGTAATATAAATCCTTAGGATATGAAATATCAACCATGTACTAAATGGTGATGTTAGGCTTCCTTTATCCTAGTTGCTCAGGCAGATGTGGTTGTTTTAGATGTTCTGGGACATAAGCTTTCAGCAGTCACAAGAAATTTTGGAGATAGTTCTACAAAAATTAGTGGACTAGGGGCTGGGTAATCTTTTCAACCTGGGGGCCACATATCTTTCTGTCCTGCCTGAGGGCTGCAGTGGGCATTGTGCCTTCACTGGGATGATTAAAGCCAAACCTTGCAGACCCATCTTTTAAATGAGCAAAAGCAGTGCCTTAAATCTTGCAAAAAAGGTCAGTTTGCTCCTCAGGTTCATCTCCCCCTCCTCCAGTTAAAAACATTAGATTAACTGGGGAGGGGTGTAATTGTAGTTTTACCCCATAACAAAAATGTTGGCTGATCCCACTCAGAGCCACCTGAGGGCCAAGAATAGGATTCTGGGGGATGCAGATAGGCTAAGGATTCTCTATCCCTAGATTGAAACAAAGATATTGTGGGTAAATTGACTATGAACTAGAATAGCTGTTCTTCTGAAATTAAGGTAAAATGCATATAATTTGGGTAACAGGTATTATATAATAATATTTTAACTGCTCTTTACTATTATACAGCTAGTCATCATGAATACTGTATACAGGTCAAAGGATCTAAAGGAAAGAACCATGTATTGCCTTAGGATACAAGCAAAACTGAAATCACTTGAAGGAGAAAAAAGTGATATTTATTGTGCAAAGACTACAATCACTGGTGTGTATTATCTTACTGTTTAATTGCTGTATATTACACAGATGTGGAGTTAAGGGAATAGATTGCATTCTCTGGTTATTTTTTATGTTTCAGTCATCTCCCCTGCCATGGAGTATGACTGATGCCAAATTCAAGACCCAGATGGGTACATTTGTGAGAAGGGAATATTTATCTCCTCACGAACCAGGTCTTGCAGATACAAGCCAGTCTATCACGATAATAGATAAGAGATTTATTGTAGTTGGGCCTGCCATTCAGAAACAGTGGCCAGGATCACTGTTGTAGGTAGGTGCAGCATAACCTGGCCCCTAAGACAAGGTCAGGAGCTGGAAGTGAGGATTGGCCTCAAATATCCAGTCTTCCTTATTAAGAATGCCCATGTCCCATATCTCATCATATCTTCTCTACCTGTCTGATTAGATTTTCTTTGGATCTCAGCCCCTAAGTAATATTGCCATCAGAGATCCTTCTCTTGTCAGCCTACTCCTATGGAATAGCATATCTGTGGTGGTAAGGATGGTCGTGTCCTTGTTGCTACTGTGCCTATAAAGTGATCAAGACCTGGCTCTTCTGCAGGGCCTTTGAGGATGGGTGAATATTGTGTCACTGCTGAAGAATTGGCACCAGGTAGTGGTTGTATATCAAGAGGAGTATGGCTGTGCAGTGGTTATGATGATTTTACTGTTATGCCATTTGTGGTTTGATTACTGAGATTTATATTGTGCTTTAACTGTAACAGAGTGTAAGGCACTCAAGGGTTTTTTTCCCCCGGAACATCATATAAACCTTAGTATAAATTAACTGAAGGTGCTACTTGAGATTATAGCTGTAATGAACAACTCATTATTGCTTTCAATATGAACTACACTTAGAGTTCAAGTGGAAGACTGACCCTGGTGTCTCAGATGGCCCATATAGTATGCTGTGTTGTCCCTTAGTCCTTTCCCTTCTTCCCTTCAGTTTCTTGGGATTTAAATTTTTGTTCTTGAATCCTGCAGAAATCAAGTTCAGCTCTCTCCCATGAAACAATCTGTAATACATCTTCAGGATTAAGATGAAAAGCAGTGATTTCTTAAAAACAAAATGTGCTGAATTTGACAATATTCCTATATACAAAGTTCACATTTGCAGATTATTTGACTGTGATTATTCGTAAGTCTAATTGAAAGAAGAAAAATAATGAGACATATTTCATTGTTTGAGAAGGAATTTTTTCCATTCCTCCTGTTTCCCAAATATAAACTGACACTTGCATACAATAATTTATCTGCATAGTTCAAATTTAAATATGATTTTTAAATATCTAACTCCATATTCTACCCCTTCCTTCTGCCATGGCGCCCCTGGGGTTTCTTCCCATTTAACTAACCTGCAACCAATTTCTGCCAGCTACATCTCAACACTCTTCAGAAACCCATGTTCAATTTTGTCCTAATAGCTTTTTCTGTCCCCAAGTCTTATTTTTCTCCAGCTATGTTGGCAGCTCACTTCCTGCACAGAAGCTTCCTTAGTAGATAGTTCAGTATAATTTTTCTGAAGTGTTTCTGAACTTTCATTGCAGTCTATTCATACATTGTAACCCAAGATATTAGAGAACTTGTTTCACATATTCTTGCTCTTTTTACAGCAAACATGTGTCTTTCAGTGTGTTAATAATATGTCAATGTCCCTTTCTCTTTTAGCAGGAACAAGAGTACTCTTTGCCGCATTGATATTTGGATTTGTGGCTTCTGTACTTATTTTAATATTTTTACTGTTGATGAGTATTCGGAAGTATCAAAGTATAATTAAATCCTTTTGGCAACCTCCTCTAACAATACCATCACACTATGAAGAGGTGTGTATATTGAAGATTTCTGCTAATTTCCAATAATGTGTGATTGCATTAAGCGGTATCTGGAATTCACTTACATAGAACTGTGCTGTGGAGGTTAGGCACATTCTCATCCTTTATTCCATAGCAAACTCCAGGCATAGCTGGAATTGAGACATGTTAACATGTGATGATGGGTTCTTTTCTTGGGACTTAACATTGCAGCTTTTTTCAGCTATTCTGCAGCACAGAAGCAGACCCTGTGGTCTCTCGGCCCTATTCCACATTCCTTATGTTGTGATTGTGAGCTGCAGGTAATGGTGCAGGATGGAAAAAAAAGGAAGTATACCACTAATTGAATAGTAACATTACATCTTGATTTTCAATCATGGATTAAACAGAAATCCTGATTTGCTATAAATAGGACTAATGTCAGTGAGGCTGGATCCTTCAGGGGGAATCTGCACTCCAGAAGGCAGGAGAATAGTGTGTAATTGTGTTTGTATTTGTAGTTTGTTTCATGTTGATTAGGCAGTGAAAACATTACTCTGCACATGCTCATACTTGAGAGATTTCTACCATTTTCTTTTTCTTTTTTGTCCCCCTTCCCAGCTGAATTAAGATTTGCCAAAAGATGCTGTGTTTAACTTTGTTTCATGTAGAGGTTGTGTCAGGTTCTATGAAACTTGGGGATTAATTGAAACTAACAATTAAATGGTGATGCTGAAACTTTTGCAGATAACTGTTGATTATAATTCTAGGTCTTCTTTATCTGACTCCCTTTCTTGATTTTTTGACAAAACATTGTTAGATAGAAATTGCTTAATATTCAGTTAGCTTGTATTTTTCAGTAAATGAAAAACTAACCAAATGTAATTTGTAATTGCAATGTGCATCTGGATTTACTCCTGAAAAATTTCTCTGGCATATTATTTATTTCTGCAAGTCCTTCTATGTCTCTCAAGTGTCATTATAGTGCTTACATAGTAAATTACTGTAGGGATTATTTGGTCAAAGTTCATTTTATTTATACAGCTCAACTTTATATTTCATTTATAGACCAACATAAGTTAACTAAGAGTCTTAAAATTAGATTTCAGCAGTGAAGTATAGGGACTATGAATTAGCATACTAACAACATGTTTTAAAAAATATATAACGCTAATCTATATATAAGAATTGTAAATAAATATTAATACAAAGATGATAAAAACGGTATTCAAGTAGAATAAACATATGAGATAATGAAAATGAATGTATTTATTTATATCTCATTTTAAAAAAATTAAAAAACAGTTCCAAAACAGAGATTAAGGCTGCATAGATCAGGTTTGCAAAAAATATGGCCTGTCAGGATCTTGGATACAGTGCTCAGAATTAGTAGGACTGAACCTTTTGGACACTTTTTATGCATTAGGAGGATTAAGGGCAAAGTGGCAGCATTCAGTATAGCAGAGGCTTGAGATCTCCATGCATCCGTTAAAAACACACAGGGCATGGTCACTTGAGGGATCACCTGCTCCCATAACATCCGCTCAGCTGATTTGATCCTGCAGAGTTGGCGTGCTCTGAAACGTGCCTTCTCTGTAGCAGTGCCTGCCCTCTGTAATGAGGTTCCCCCGCAAGATCCAGATGGCTCCCACTCTGCTGCTGCTTAGAAGAGCCATGAAGACTTGGTTCTTTACCCAGGCAAGGGAGAGTGAGACCCCTCACCATTGTGCTTGCCATCTTTTTTTATTTTTTAAGTTTTATTGTAATTTGTTTGATTGTTGTGAGCTGCCCAGAGTTGTTGAGACCCAGGCAACATACAAGTTTAATAAATTATTTATTATAATTAAAAACCTCCATCCCAAATCTTTTACAAGGCTTAAGATGCTCATTTCTCTTCTTAAATCCTTTTCTAGACTACCAAATGGAAAATGAGGGTTCTTGACTACACTTACTATGGCAACTTTGTTCTTTTACTTGCTCTTCTGTCTGTTAAAAAAAAGAGAATTTCCTTTTTCAACAGTAGAGGGAGCTATAGTATTAAATGAAGTCTGATTCTACCAATTAAAAAAAAAAGCTGCACAGCTATTTTAGTTTGGGGACTTTGCTCTTACCAAAAATGTTTTAAATAGTAAGACATGAAATAAAACTGATCCTGCCCACTTCCTGAGTGTCACCCTTGACATGCTGTGCAAAGCCTAGTATACAGCCCTTGCACCTAGAGAGGTTGCAAATTCCTGGCATACATCAAGGGTTAATCTGCTTGCAGCAAGTGCTTTCTGGTATATCCCATAATAGTTATTAAACAAAACTAGAGATTAATAACAATCTGAATCACCAGGAGCAGAGAACATTTTTCTTTTCCCCATAGTAGTGCCCGACTGTGTGTTCTCTTTCTTTTCTCCTCTTGAATAGGTGCCATTTCTATGAGAAAAAATATTAGCTTGAAGCTTGGTACATCTGAGATGATAAAATCTCAGTTTACAAAACAGATTTAATGCAATTGAACTCTCTAGTTAATACAGTTAGTCCCCAGTTTAAGAACGAATTAAGGTCTGTCCTTAAGTTGAATTTGTACGTAAGCCAGAACAGTATTATTGTATAATACTGTACAAGTAGTAGTGTGTAATGAACTCAAACCATTGTGTATTTAACTCGAATCATCATGTATTTAACTCAAATTTTGCTACAGTAGGGTCCATTCTTAACTATGGGTCATCTGTAACCCTGGTGTTCTTAAGCCAGGGAATCCCTGAATAAAATTGGACACATAGTCAAGACCCTATTTCAGTTATAAATCTATATAAATAAAGATTGGCTACATTTATATGAAGTGGATGAAACTCCCTTTGACTTCAGTAGAATTTTCCTCAAAGGAAATGTTGTGAATTGCCTTTCTGTTGGCAATTTTGCATTTCAATATTATAATAGCAAATATGAACTGTATATAATTTGTTCTATTTATTGGTTTCTAATAATCTAATACTTTTTTTCAGGACCTAAATGACCCCCAAATGATGATAATTGAAGAATTTCAGAACTGTGCAGAAGACCATTGTGACATTATTTCGATTATCTCCAAAGTAGAAGATGATAAAATTCTGACAAGTTTTGCCAGTGAACAGAGTTGACAGATATGATGAAAAATATTTTGTCACTTGCATCTTATTCATTACCATCAAGTTGTTTTAGCAGCTTGTTTAAGACTAGTCAGTTTCTAAGGAAGTTCCACTCATCCGTCTGTGCAGCACTGCAAATTAAGAGACTGATTTTAACAGCACAATCACATGCTTATTCGTTTGGAAGAAAGTCCTATTATTTCAATAGGGTATACTCTGAATAAATGTGTTCAGAGTTCCATTGTGAATATATTAGGAGAACACAAATCCTATTGTCTCATATATATTTTCTAATGATTACACTTTTCCTTTTCACTAGGCAATGTTGTCCTAGAACAAGGGTAGTTTACAACAGGATTACCTCATGGTAACTGCAATAGACTAAACCAAGATGATGGAAAGTTGGTTCTGACATGTAGTTTAGCTAGTGAAATCTTTTGAAACTTCAGTGCTGTTAAATACATCAGAGCCACGTAACAGCATGTTTGATCAGGTTTTAATTTACAGGCTTGATGTTTGCATTATTAAATCTTACTGATTTGGGAGCAGTCTTGAGAATATAAAATTGAATCCTGTTGACTGCCGCTGGTGGATGGAGATTAGAAAGATATTACTGTGTTTTGAGTAAGTTTGGGCTCTTCTTGAATATGATGGAATCAGAAGGTCCTTCCTGCTTCACTTTTCTGCATGATGGATGGAAGCTTCTATGAGTTACATCTGGTGGATCAGCTGCAGCCTGTTTACTAATTGGGATCTTACTTCCAATATTCATGAAACATCAATAGTTTAAATTATTGTAATTTACTGTGACTTGGACTCTATGAATATTTCAGTTGGTATAGATCCTATCAATTTTAACAGACTAGGCTATGGTCCAGTTGTATTTTTTTTTAAATTCAGTTGGACTAGCTCTTGAAGATGTTCTCAGCCTCCAGGTGTATGCTATCCATGCTCTTCTTGCTGGTAAGCTTATTTAAACAATACCGTATATAGAATTCCAGACAACTGTTTAAGTGCTGAGGTTACATAGAATTGCAGCAGGGTGAATTCCTGTATTTCTCTCTTCCAGAGATCACTACATATTGCCCCTTCCTCTGCTTTCCTTCCTTCATTATAGCAAGATCTGAGGTGTTCAACAGAACCTTGCTATGGTACCCACTATGGAATTTAAATGATCCTTCACTTTGTAGTTTTCATGACAGTTGCATGTGCTTTTAGAAGAAACGTTCAGTTCTTGAGCATTTTTTTATACTATTTTTGTACTGAATTTGTGATGTATATATATTGTTTATAACATCAATTTCTATCAGGAAGCAACTTGCATTGTATAAACCTGTGAAAAGGTACTGACTATGTGCTGCTATTTGGTTGTAATGAGAATCCAATTTTAATTCGGGCACCTGGCCTAATATTAATTGTACTTTTTGCAAGATGCAATCTTGTTTAAGATTAAAATTGCTTAAATTTCTTTAAAACACTGGAAGAATGTCATTGTTTTCTTCCTGGTAATGCATGTATGTCTTTAATATAAACCATAAAATTAGAGATGCAGAACCTGAAGATGTATTAAAACTGGCTGACTGATGTGAATTAAAACTTCTAGGTTTCCCACGTTACCTTTTAAGACTGAAGAATATTCCAAATGTATCCAGTGTTTGGTCTCCCAAAACTGGGGACCTCTGTGTTAAGCCAAAACTAAACTACATTATGGTTTAGTGTGATATGTGAAGCCAGCCAATAATTGACAGTGACCCATCCTCTCATTGGTGGAGGATGCTAATCTGTAAGAAAGCAGTAACATGTTTCTTTTTCCTTACTTGTTGCCAGATGCTAGAATGAATTGTTTACCAAAGCCATAGGCAATACTTCAAATATCTTTGGGTACCATAGTATTGGCAATACCATGATGTGCCCATCAAACATAGCACACTGTAACACACACACACACACACACACACCTTGCTTCTCTCATAAGCTTTAGTCCTTCGTGATATCCTATTAGGGCTGCGCAAACCTTTGAAACAGGTGCTTTACAAAGCATTAGCTCAAAAGCACCCCTCTACTAAATCCTTATGCAGCACATCCTTTACAAGACTTGCATGCTGTTTTGAAATTGTTCCTGGTTCTCTGTGCATGCACAGACAGCGCTGCCACTGCCAGCAGAGTGATTTGACTGTGCATGGATGTGTGTGTGAACAGAGAGATAGCTTTTTAAGCAGTTGCATAAGCCTTGCAAAGGATATGGCTGCTTTAATGCTTCAGGGCGAGGTGCGTTGTGCCTACTCATTTTGCACAGCACCTCTTTTATCATCCCATTTTTTCTTCCATTTTATCTTCTAAGTCCATAGCTAATTGGGAAAAAAAGATGGGTGCTATAGGGTATGCTAGACTTTCAAGATTTCCCCCCCCCTCAAAATAAATAAATAAAAATATCAGGCAGAGTCTGACAATCACCAAAGAGAAATCCATGGACAGCATGTTGGAAACTCCATTCCCATTGCAAGTATGCTATACCTTTTGATAATGTATAGCTGAGATAAAGAAGCACTGCTGTGTGATCTTTTCAAGAAATCACCTTATTCTTATATGTAAAATAAAGCAAGATTTTTATATTGCTGATTATTTGACTTTAATATAATTACAATGAACAAAATAGTTTAATCTTTGTAATGTGGTGAGAGTCTGGTACCAAGAAAGAAGGAACAGGACAACTCTTAGCATGTTAAGTTTGCGTCATAGTCTGTCCTTTGAGAGGGCTAAGAAAGGCTTCAAGAGATAACTACCTGGCCAGTTTTACTTTCTAGCTGTGGGAAAAGTCAAAAGCATGCAAGGTAGAAAACCTGGAATATCTGCTTCAGCAGGACCTTCTATAGTCAGACTGTAGAGCAACTTGAGTATTCATAATTTAACAGAACATTTAAATTATATAGCATGCCATAATTTTCAGTATACAGTTAGCCTAAGTTAATATGTCACTGAACTGCATACATGTTCATTTATATAAATTAAATATCTAAAATTTCTGAAAACATTTAAGATGATAGTCTTGCCATATGTTGTAATAAAAATATATACTCTCTCCAACGATCCTTTTTGTTTGGAATCTAGACGATCACATCTAAAGATACACAGACATTTTCCTAACAAAGTAAACAATAGAATAGGAGCTCCTAAATTTTTCTGAACATAAAATTTCCCTTACTCTGCATATTGCATAAGCATATAAAATATGCAACAATTCTGCATTAAAATAATTGCAATCTCTGTATGTATAAATAATATATGAACAGAATCTTAAGTGATATTATAAAAAATCTTTAACAAAATGCCTAAATAGTGTAAAATTTCATATAGACTTTTGTTACAACATCAAATCTATCAGCACTTTTTGGGAACATCCCATTTTAAGGCATGCTGTGCTAAAAAATGAAGCTCTTAGTGCATTTGCAGTAGCATAGGCTATTCACAGAATTTGTGAAATTAGTGTTAAATGAAGTTCTGGAATACAGTACTCTTTTACACAACAATTTAAAAAAAAAGCTTGAAGCTTGAAGAGGTGTAGTCATGCATTACCATATAATGGTGGAACCTTGCAGATACTATTTGAGATAAACTTCAGTCTTTTGCTGAATCTTTGCCTCTTGGCTGATGCCATCTGAGAAGGTACTAGGCTTATTTGTGCTTAAGAGCCGAAGGTGATCTTGAAAAATCTATAGATTTATAACATTCCCTATATTTCATCAGAAAAAAACCCTGCCAACTGCAATAAAAATGGAAGGATTGGGGTCATAGATTACAGATAACCGTAATATATACATATGGACAAATTTGTTATACTAAAAATTTGGAACAGAATACTAAAATCAGTTCACTTTCCAAAAAATAAACATACCAAATGTATAATACAATGAGCTGGGCAAAACAGAATATATCCAAATGTAAATTATATTATTTACATAAAAGACTTGCTATGCAGGATGAAGAAAAATGGATTCTTACGCCCACAATTCTTCTGTTCTTCCAAATTTGTAGATAAGGGTACTATGAAAACAGAAGTTTAGATCTATAAGTCAAATATTCTTGTGCTCTTCAGTAAAAGATACAGTAAAAGCTAGCATATATTTCAATTTATTGGTGCTCCCTTCACTAGTTTTAAAAGCAAAAGCAGATGTGCTAAAATATGGCACCAATGGATATCATTCCAATGTAATCCAGTATCCAGTTCCTTTGGAGATCTGACCTTGTTTAAACAGCACTTTTTAAAAGGTGAAAATTAAGGTAGCACACTAATAAAGCCTTATTAATTGAATTAGGTGAATGATCAGTATCTATTTTTCCCTCTACTGTAGTGCACACCACTTCAAGAAAAAAACAAGAGATCAGTGCTGGATCAGTTAATGCACCCTTAAGATTCAAAGGAATTCAACAAAGTAAAGAAACTGTGAAGCATACTGTAGGTAGCTCCATTGCCTGTTAATCTGACTACTGCTTTAATGTTGAAAAGAAAGTAGTTCAGTAAGAAACCTCAACAAGGTTGCTAAAATATATTAATCACTGTATAAACATTAAACATGAGACTGCCTCTCCCCACTTAAAATCCAAAAGGCGAGATACAAAAGAAAAAAGAAGGGAAGACAAAGTCAGTAAAACTCAAAAGGGCAATTCTTAAAATGTATATAGGTTTCAGTTGTGTGTTTTAATGATGAACTGCTTGAATGAAAACAGTTCAGAGAGAGAAAAAAATAAATGATATTTGACCTCTCAGCTTTACTGGTGAAATTGTGTCTAATCACCCTTACTTCTGACCTCAGTTGTGTTAAATTGGTGTGGCATTATTGGTAGAGGGTATTTCTAGAAAGAGGGCCTTAGAAGTGCCAATCAAATGGTGTTGTGAAGTCTTTCCATCTTGAGAGGAGAGGATGTAATAAATGAAGAAATTTTTAAAAAGTAATAACCTTGTGAATGGTCTCTTTCTATGTGTACCTGCATATACAAATAAGGGTCTGCAAATCTTTTACTGTGACAGTAATAGTACTAGTCACAAGTTTGACAAGATACAGCACTGTCGATGCAGCCTCTTTTAATCAGCAAAGGTAGCGGAATAAATCCTGAAGACAAAGGAAAAGAGAACATGTACTTTTTCTTCTGACTTGATCTTGAGATCTACTTGATACTAAGAATAGGTCTTAAAAAAACAGCGGGGCAAGGCGTGGGTCTTCAGTGTTCAAGAATACAAGTTGAAGAAGACTGTACCACAGAACTGGACGTGTATACACATTCTTTGATACAGGGCAAATCATCAAAGCAGCCTTTGTTTTGTACAACTGAATAAAACAGTTGTTCTCCAGATATTTGTTCAGACATAGAAGAGACAAGGAAAGGTATTCTACTATAAGGAGCTAGAGTAATTTTTTTGAAAATCTAGACAGCAATACTGAAATTAGAAACAGATTTATTACCCAACCCATTAAAGGATCGTATCAGAAAATCTGATGCCTTGCAATACCACACTGGAGTAGCCTAGGGTATGCCCTTTTCTTGTTATTTGCTTAGAAAGTCTCTGTTTTATTACTAGGTTGAATATTTACTTAACTTCTAATTTTGATACACAGTGATCTAGAATGAATACCAACACACCCACTTCTGCTGTTCGACTTAACCATTTTCAGTATTACAGATTTAACTTACTCATTCAACATTTTAGGCCTCAGTACTTACCTAAAAAATATCAAAGCATTTTGAAAAAACACAGCTAATCCCGGGTATACATTAATATCTAAAAATACAAACATCAAAATGTATTTTTTATTTTGATATAAGGAAGAAAGTAAAAGTTACTACACGCCACTACAAAATGCAAGGATTTAATTCAAGAGACTATACAAACTGAGTCTGCCCTGGAAATAGGGCCCTTCACGCATCCTAACACAGCGTCTTAAAATTCTGTACTGCTACAGAATTCAGGGCTTTGAAGTTGAGCTGCTGCTAGGGCAAGGAGAGGTTTTTTAATTCATACCTATATATTTGAATTTCAAAAGTTATTACTCAGCTTATTACAAAAACCCAATCATATGAGATGCCTATAATTAGTTGGATAACATGTGAAACCATGTTCTTTCCAGGTTTCTGAGGTTACAGTATCTGAAGTCTCCTTTAAATATAATTCCCTGTATTACTTTAATGCTAAAAGTAACCTGAGACTAATTGATGGCACAACTTATGGCTTGCTAAAATGTTACTCAGCTTTTTCTCTTATATGTTGTATTTACACAACATGCGTATGCATTATTAATATACAGTGGTACCTCGGGATACGAACTTAATGCGTTCCGTGACT